CAATAACAAACTTGCTACTCACAGGCAGGGTAGCTCCAGCTGCAGGGGCTAATCTCTACAGACTTAACAATTTTGCAATGATCCAAAACCTATAGTGGACTGAAAGGTAAACAGATGAAAGGCAACAAGGGAAGCCATGCAGAGTGTGCGGCTGCTGAGGATCAGTAGTTTAGGGAGACTCAAAATCAGAAAGGGTGCAGCATAGCAGAGGGATGGGGGGGAAATCTGAATTTTTCAAACCTAAAACAAATGCATCTCAAACTTCTGCAAGGCTTCAGTCTTCAAAGGCTACCTGGAACCTAAAACTGGAGAGAACTATTAGTCACATGGCTATCTTTGCCACGAAACCAATGATATCTGAGTGGCTTATACAGAAAAACATAAAACGGAACTTTCATTATGCTGGAAAAGGTTAGCAAGTTGGGTGGGCAGTTGAACTACAGAGCTTTGCATAGCAATTAATGAAAGTAAAAGAGCCAGTACATTAAGTAGATTAGGCAGAGACTAAATGATTTAGCCAACATGTGAAGACAGTGTTGGCAGTCCTAGAAGAAACAACAGAAATTCTGGAGCATCTGTTAATGGTGAAGAATGTCAGGATTCTTGGGATTCAAATGGTTAGCGAAGATCTGGACCTTTTGACTTGGCAATCTAGACAATCCCCATTCTGAAGGTTCAGGGTACCTATGGAGATACCACACGTCATCTCATCACAATAGTATGATAAAGAGAGAATCCATAGAACAGCAAGAACCAAGAAAGATATTTCACTGATTTCTGATAGGGTTTCCATAGGTGTGTGGGTTGAGGGAGCAGGCAAGGAGCCTTCCTCCCATTCCCTATGTCCACCTATGGGTAGAAATGACAATTTCAGCCCCTGTGTTCATTTAACATTGAAATCCAAGTTCCAGAGGGGTGTTCTTGGGGGGAGGGGGAGGAAACTAGTGAAATTGCAGTCTAGCTCGCTGGCATATGTGATTGAATTTCAACCTCTATGCAGAGCAGATGACCCTGTTCCCACTGCCCTCTTCTCTGGCCTGTTATCCAGTCCTGGGCAGCACAGCAGGGAGCATTCTCTTTTTGCCTCTTCAGGTGACTTGTTGAATGTAGGACCAGTAGAAGCAATGACTGCCCTGGAATCGGTTAGGAGTACATATAAACCAGGAGATACTAATCCCCATTCACAGAGCCATATCCACTTCTCCGGATACAATAGCCCTTTAGTGCCCCGCACATCACCAGTGGTGGATAAAACTGGTATTTCAACCACACAAAATGCATTCTCAACAGCCTGTAATTTATGGCACCACAATACTTTACTATTATGTTGATGTCCTTTTCAACACAACATCAGGGTTCATGCACTTTCCTTCCTGCTCCTCCCCACACATGTACACTTTTGTTGCGTCCTCCTTATTTGTGCCCCTTTTTTGGTCACCCACACGAATTAACGTTTGTTTGGAAACGGGCCCATAGCGTTCCAGCGTGTAAATAGAATACTACGCTGCTACTGTCTGTACATGTAAACTGAAACCCGATGAAGTGTTAGGGGAGAGAAAACAAATAATATTAACAATTGCATTAAAAAGTAATACTTGTCTATTACTGTCAGGCCTTACAAAGTATTCAAAGTTTAATTTACAGCGTCTATTTAACAGTTTTAAAAGAAGATTATAAAAGTACAATAAAAACTCTGAGGCATGTGGACACAATGAAATATACACGCTTCTCACGTCTGGAAATGCATATGCAGTTAAACCAGAAATTTTTGCCCCTGTGTATTATTGCTTTCTGTACATATTTGTCTGCTATACTTGAGCCAGAGTATAAGACGTTCTTTTCACAGTATATTCTAATTGCAGCACTCTGTTAAATTACAGCATGAAGTACTTAGCAGTGACTTGTGGCTCAGAAGGCCAGTAAGAAGATGCAGTCAGTGATTATATGATAATATCCATAAAATTACCATGGAGGACTCACTCATGAGTTCTGCTGCAAGCTGCTGCAGGGGAGTAAGGAATCCCCTTATTCCGCTGCATAGGCCACCCAAATTGCGAGGCCCTACATGGTGGGGCAAGTAGTTGCCACTGGGCTGCGGTTCCCCCCATCCATGCAGGTAGGCAGGGAGTGGTCAGGCTGCGAAGGCAGAGGCAGGGGGTGGCTCCACCCCTCCCAAGGTACCAGCCAGTGCACTGAGAGAAAGTAGGCTGCGGCAGCAAAAGGAGTGGCACAGCTCACTTCTCCCATGGCACAAGGAAGAAGCAGGGACCAGACTGTGACTCTCAGCATCTCAGCACAGTTCCTGCCTTGCCTTGCTCCTGGGACAATGGAGTTACGTGCTTCCTGCCACGGATACAATCCAGCCCAGGAAGGGAAGAAGGAAAAGACCCATTGGGTCTTCCTATGCACTCCCTTATTAGCACAAAATTTAGGAATTTAGCACAAAATTATTCCTTGGGGTATATTCAAGCACTTAACCCTGTATAGTTTTAAATTAGACAGGATGGAATTAAGTCTGATCAGGAATCTTCTGTCAGAATGATTTTCTGACAGGAAATGCAATTTCTGCAAAAAAAAAATAATTTTTGTAGGAAAATTTCAGTTTTCCTGAACTTCTGATTTTTTCCCTTCCCTTTGGAAACCCAAATCAAAATATTTAGATTAGGGTTGGTTCAACCTAAACTGGAATATTTCTATTTATTAAACTGACCAGAAATGTTTCATTTTGCGTCAGTTCAACATTAAACTGCATTTCCCTGTTGTGCTGCATTGGCTCATGGGACTCAGCGTTTGCCTCCAGCCCCCGACCTCCCCCACATGGGTTGGACTCCCTGGTCTGACTATATTTCCCATGATGCAACACTATCTCCTCTCTGACCAAGCTGAGTAGTCTGTCATGGGACTCACATTACTGCTGTTGTATCATGAGAGATGTAGTCCAGCCAGGGTGCCTGGTCCATAGTTGAGAACAAGGGCATCAGACTCCTGAACTGAATTCCAATGAGGCAATGTGGCTCTGTAAGGAAATGCAGTTTAATGCTGAACTGATTTAAAACTATGCATTTCCAGTCAGATCAACAAAATTAAATGAAACATTTTGAGTCAGGAATGTCAAAACATTGCATTTCTATTGAAAATGTTGACTTGGATTGTTTCTCCATTTCTGAATCAAATTTTTTTGGAATTTCTGTTGTGTGAAAAAATTTGATATTTCAAATTTTTTTCCTTCTTATATGGCTGGTGTGTAGATATAGAGCAACAACTATAATTTTACATTTAGGTGGTTGTCAGGTAATTGCATCAAGAGTGGCGGGGTATATTGCTGTGATGCCTCCTTTGTATTTCTGAATCAGGCATTGAGTTGTTATATGTTCCATGGTATGTTCTGGGTGACCGCAGTCGCACACTGGAGAGTTTTTAATGTTCCATTTGTGCATCAAGTATCCGCATCTGCCATGGTTTGTGTGGAGGTGGCTTAGGGTTGCCCATAAGCTTCGTGGAAGATCGAAGCCAGGGATCTTTTTGTTCTGGTTCAAGATAAAAACAAATGTAGAATTATCAGAATTTTCGCACGGACAGAAATTCTGTCTTTTGCTCAGCTCTAGAAGGATTGGAGGGAACCGATAAAGGAACCTCTTCTTCTAAGCTTGGGAATAGCTTTTGTGTTGAGCTGACCCTACTGCAGTTTTGGAATCATCATTAAAAGAAACATGCCACATGAAAATCACTGAACGAGTTTTATTCTAGCCCTTGTTTTACTCCTCCATGGAACATGCCTAGAGAAAAGTCTATATAAGAACAGTAAGCCCCAGTTAGAGCCTGATCCTTCAAGGTACTGAACATCGCCTGCAAAGTGCTGAGAGCTTTCAGTTCCTCTTGACTGCAATGGGAGTTGAGGTCACTCAGCCTCTCCAATGATAGGGTGTTTAGGAGCAAATTTTCAAATGATCTGATCACTCAACTGTGGCCAGATTTTGAAAAAAGCTCAGCTGCTATTTAGGCACCAGACTACATGGGCAGATTTTCAGGAGAGCTCAGCATGCTGTATGCACACTGGGTTCTCAGCGCAGCTAAAAATCTGGCCCCGATTGTGTGTGCTGAGCACTCAAAAATCTGGCCCACTTTTGAAAATCTGCCCTCCATAAGCTCTAATGAGGATTTTCTCACCTGCTTCTCCTATGACTTTGGCCAAGTCCTGGTGTTTCCTTGTTGTAGGCCAACATAATTCAAAAGGGTTCTCTTCGTGATGACTGCAGATCTTTCTTCATCCCCTGTTGTTCCAGACCTGCCTTGCAGATTGATTGCTTTCTCACTGTATGAAATTGTTTCATAGGGGGTCCTCTCCCCCTACAAATATTACACAGTTACCAATTTAAGAACTTAACAATCGCACATTTAATGTATAGTGGATTTTGAGTGTCCTGGATCTGTCATTACAGCCCATCTGTGGAATAATCTAATAGTCCACATGGCCTCACTGCTGACTTTTCCCTGCAGCTGAAACCCTCTCCTATTCTTTTAAACATATGTTTGGAACTTGAAACTGGGTTCTCCTCTTTGAAGTGAGAGGGGACCAATTTTTGCATCAACAGTTTGCTTGGTACCATATTTAATGGTAACCAATTAGGGCTGTATTTCAGAGATTTATAATTCTTCAAGTTAAACATACTTCTAACTAGAAATTAATGTTCAATATAAGGCAAAAGTGATTGGGAAAGATCGGTAGTTGCAACGGTGAACAATATACCCTGTACTGGATCCAGTGTTATCTTTCCCCCTTACCCACCATCAAGCTTGAACATGAGTTGTAGCTAGTTTTCAGCCATCATAGAAAACAACCTACTTTTACACAGCATCAATTAAAGTTTAACCGGTACTTGCTATGATGTCATCAAATATAACAGATATGACAAACTAATGGCAGGCTGTCCTTTCACGTCCAAGTGCACGTGGCAGAGTAAAAGCACACCAGGGGTATTAGCAGCTTGGTAAGCAGATAGTCATGGTTCCCAAGAGCGGTATTCCGTGTGTATCCGAGTTGGTGCGTAGGGTTGGTAATGCTTGTTCTTTGGGCCAGGAGGATGGCGTGGCGTCATGTTCATGTAGTCACTCGTCAAGATTCTGTTCTTCTTGTTTTTCCACTACAGGGGGGAAGTATGAAAACATTTTTGCAATTAGATTTTCCTCCATAGGCTAAATAATTTTTAAAAAGTCTTTGTGCATGGAGTCCAGAGTGTTTCTTAAAGCTGGGCTCAAAATGAATAAAGGACTTGATTCGTTTTTCCTCCTTTCCAATTAATAAATTGTCCAAGCAGGTCATGCTATTATCAAACATATTCACCACTCAGAATTATTCCTCAAGGCTTTTTCAGGAAAGCACTGAAGCAAGTGCTTAAAGTTAAATAAATTAATCTAAAAACCAGCATGAGTAGTCAGATAAAATGTTCTGCGAAATTTGCCCTCCTCGCCTATCAGTGGCCCAGCAGCCCACCTGCAGAGAAAGCTATAGTATTAGAGAGTTCTCCTGGTAGTGAATGCTGTAAACTAAGATTGTGTTCTTACTTCTCTTCTAACCACCTTCTTAGATGGAGGAATGACTCAGCAGAAGTAAAGCAAGTGCAGTCAGCAAGGGGTTTTCCTAGCTTCTAACTAGAATTTTTTAAAAAAATAACTAATGTCAACAAAATAAGAGTGGCAGAAAACGCCTCCTGCCTGTATGTAACTGTGCAGCCCTGTCCTCCATCTCCCAAACAATCTGCAGTCTGCTGGTTGAGGGGTGAAGGTAGCAGAGATAGAATTCTCATCTATCTGGCCCTGAGCACTGTACCTCACACTCATTAATGGACTTTTGCCTCAAAGTAATCCTGTGCAGTAGGAAAGCACTATCCCCATTTTGCAGATAGCAAACTGAGGCACAGGGTAGATTACGTGGCTTGCCTGAAGTCAGAGAGGAAGTCTGTGGCTGAGCAAGCAACTGAACCCATGGCTTCTGCAGTCTAGCTCTGTGTCCTATCCTCTAGACCATTATTCTTACCTAAATTAATCTCTTGTGAATTAGTGACTGTGCAGTGGGCCTCCCCTCTGTCACAATTCTATGGTTGTAACTTGCTAAAAACATCTTTTTGCTGAAATTTCTTGCATTTGAAATATTTTCAACAGCTTGAGCAAAGTCTGTATTTTTTACTTTAGTAAGGACAAAAGTATAATTTTTCCAAAACACTTGTGAATCTTCTTGTGTGTGCATGCATGTGCCCACACACACAAACACAATTCAGTCTGCTCAGGTTTCCAAATGGCTAGTCCTCGCTGAAGGCCAGTGTACAGAACAATTTGCCTGAAAAGCATGTAAAGTGTGTAGGTATGCCTATTTATATATACATATATGAGAGAGGCCTTCAATCTGGAGTTATAAGCAACTCAGCTGAGCAGTAAATATCAGTTCTATGGAATAACATACATGAAGGTTAGTTACATATTTTATGCTGGTATTTCACGGTGGAGTTCCACAGTTGTGTCCTTTGGACTGTGCAGTAATTGAAGTGCACAGGGAAGGCAGTAGGAAGATTGGGGTTTCAGAGTTCTAATCTCCTTTTTTTTTTTTTTTTTTTTTAAACCCACTCTTATAAATATAATGTTAGGAGATTATTTTCACCTCTTTGAAGTGAAGAAATGTTAAATTTCAAATAGTGACAGGCCCAGATGGAATATTTTGGATTACTGCTTTACTGCTACATAATATTTTAGAATACAGTGAGTGCAATTCTACCCTCAGATATGCATGTGTTCATCTGACTGGTCTGGATGGGAGTTGTATAGATATCCTTGGAGGTGCAAAATTGTGTTAGCGATGTGTCACAGCGAGGAGTTAAGGTTACTATAACAACTTTAATATTTTCTGACTTTAAAATGGTGACCAAGTTTCATTCATTCAAATTTGCAAAAGTAAATTATATTACTTATAAACTATGCAGTGTGTATATAAATGATTAGATACATACGTGTGTGCTTGTACATGTATATAATCTATAACATAGATATATACATCTGTGTGTGGATAGACAAATGTACAATTTTAAAATCCTCTAGCTAAGTCTGAGTCATTTTTGGCTTATAGAAATATTTAACTAGCATGAATAAATGCCTCACTGTACAAAGATGAAGGTGTAGGACAGATGGTTTTGGAGAGCAAAGAACTTTTTCTTAACAGAGGTCAAAAACTGTGTAAGAACACAGTTTCAGCTAGGCCAAACCCTAATTCATTCTATCATTGTGGACAGCTTTTTTGTACCCATAATCTTTATTAGCCAGCTCTATTTACATCCAACAGCATTGTAAGTATGTCAGCACTCTGAATACATGTTATTCAGAAGATACCAGCAGCAGGTAAAAATGGATGAAGCCAGCACAACACAGAATCAGAATGCTACACTGCCGTTCTCCGTAGGAGTGCATGTCATCTTAGTAAGAATCTGTATCTGAGACGTAAGAGAGAGAAAATCCAAACAATAGAGAGAAAATTATTCAGACTCGAAATTATGGATCTGAAATGACAGTATTTCATCAAGGCATAGATGCTGCATAGCAATTTCACCTATTAGTTGTACCATTTAAGCTTTCCTATGACAAAATCAGAGCAAATCTCTTCAATGGGGGTGGGGGAGAAGAGAGCATTCGCTGGTTTTAAATTTGTTAATGGCAATGCCTGATCCAGCTTGCATATCATTGCAATGAACTTTGTGCCTCTGTATGACAATGATGATGCAATTTAGAGACCTTGACTGGCAATGGGACTGGGTTTCTGTACTCAAATGTAGGGTTTAATCTAAAGGAGGGGTCAGGGAATTGCAGCCAGATTACCTTGTAATTAGTTGAAAATATATATTTAAAAAGAGAGAGAGACTGGAAGGAGGAGAGTTCCCCTATCTATTCACTATTCAAGCCTGCACATGAGTTAAATATTCTAGCTGTACTCTATACAATATGGGGACTATACCCCCCCCACACACATCCATGCACAGAAGAGGAAGTCTGCTGCCTCCACATCTGCATCTCCTTTCTCCCAGGCCCTGCAGATCTGCGTATCCAATCAGGCAGAAGAGGATGGAGCCAGGGTGTGTCAGGGGTCCCCCTTTTGCTCCATAGTTATTTGTAAAGAAAAGATTCTGAGACTGCGTTATCCTTCCTATGCTGCCCACTCCATGGTGGAGATTCCTCCTGTTTTAGAACAACTTACAGCCAGGGTAGTGGCCAGGGGGAGTCCAGTGGAGTCAGACTACCAGGGAAGGTGGGGAAGAGGGAGAGTTGCTGCGGAGGCAAAATGAAGCCCTATGGAAGGGCTTGGCTAACTGCTGAGCCAGAGGACCTGTGCATATTGTAGGTGAGCTCCATGGTCTGTCGCATCCTTCTAGAGAATAATCTAGGAAGTAGTTTACAAGGGGCTTCTTGCTGTTTTCCTGCCTCTGCCCCCTCTCCTGTTGGTTTTATTATGCGAGGGGACAGTCCAACCCAGTGTTACTAGGGGCGGACAGTGAGAGAGCCTGGAGTTCTGACACAGTCAGATCTCCTACTAAAGCCCCAGTGAGAGTCCTGCCAGGGTTAGGACTCTGGTATGGAGCCTTGACTCCCTACCTGGTTACTGATGTGAGTGCAACGGGCAGTCAGCTTTTGTTTCCTGTGAATGGATGAGCATAAGCAACCAGAGTGAAGAACCATTGCTGTTCTTAAACTGGAGATGGCAATAACTGTGGAAGGTGACTGTATAAGCCGGGCAAAAGCTGGTGGGTGGAAGGGTGGGGGTGTACCCGAGTCACATAAAGCAAGGAAAAAAACTCATTTCTTACCCAGCAGATAACAAACACCGCAGTTATTAGCACACTGTAGAAAGCCAGAAATCCAAGAGTCACCATCAGAGCCCAAAAGGGTGTTGCAGGTGGAAATATTGGTGATTGGCAGAGCATCTCTTAAAGAAATAGAATAGAAAAAACGTCAGAGAACATAAAAGCCATAACTTTAATTTCCATTTATTGACTCCTTGCTCCAACACTCTTCTGTAAATTCTATGGCCATCAGAGGAAAATGGCAGGTTGCTAGACCCATTATTTGGGGGAAGAGGAATTTTGCCTTTCACTGAGAAATAGTCCTTAGGTACCTGACAGGGAACCTCAATGCTGTGAGCTCTAACGTTAAGGTGCACATGTAAGGAAAAGGATATTGGACAATTATAATTTTGTGTCGTACCTTTCACATGAATGACAGTCCCATTGCTCTTGTCGTTGGAGATGTAAGGAGGTGGAAACATGACCTCAATTTTGCAGAAGTAAATATCTGTTTGGTCAGTATTCAGCTTCCAAAGACTGAAATTCACTTCCTTTTTATGGCTATCAACTGCAACAAGGCAGTTGAAATCTTTATTTGAATGATGGTTATGGAAGGAACCATTCCAGGAAACAGAGCAGACTTCAACCGCTCTGTCTGCTCCTTTATTCAGTGATGCTCTGAATTCGTTCCCAGTTCCGTTATAGGCATATTTGCAAGCCAAGGTAGCATTTTCATTAAATGCCATGATTCGAGGCGGCTGTTCCACTAAAATCTTGTTTTCTGGGAGGGAGGATGGAAAAAAACACTTATTTATAAAATACGTTATATGATTTTTAAAAAAATCACGTCCTGCTGGTGCAATTGCTCAAAATACCGGTACCCACTGAGACTGTGTATCTACCAGTGTGATCAAGGGTGTGTTCATTCTGAATTGGATTGCAAGTGTGACATTTAATACTGAAGCTCTAACTTCTGTCCCAGTTGTAGACACACCAGTGTATTCATTCCTTCGCATCGAGTGTCCTAGTGACACCACTAAGTTGAAATATGTATTTAATATCTAGCTTACCAATCAACAAAAAAAGAGGACCACCGTTATACATATGCCTTCTGTTCCAAGAACAACCTTATTAAAAGGCAAATAGCTTGATGGTGTAACTGACCCCAGTTGGGCCATCACTGGAATTTGACCCTAATGCCTTTAGCATGGCATGAGCCTCTACAACTTGAGCTAAAAGAAATTCCTCTAGCTAGCTGCTGTCGTAACTTCTTAACCTCTTATGTGGACCAGCCATAAGATAGTGACAAAGACTTAAATCTATGGCATTTATCACACTAATGGCCCGAAGATACACTTCCTACAAAGGCAGAATCCTACTTGATCTGATTAACCTGATACATAAGAACGATGTGTTTTCTGTCCCCCATGTCACTGGGGTCTCTCTGTACTACCAGGTGCCAAAAGAAGTTGAATCGCTGAAATGGACTGCATAGAAGGCTGCTTATTTAAGGGGAGTAGTCCTTCCCAAGTGAGACCTTACACTCCTTTGGAGAGCAGAGAAAAGAAGTGAGGGGGGAACGACTCTCCCCAACAGCAAAACCTTCACAACAGTGCAGGTGTGTGACCACACAAGTCTTTGTGCAGATCTTTTACACGAGGCCTTTGTGGGCTCTATCTGGCCGAGCCGTGGGCACAGTCACAGGGGATGCTGAGGGGGAAACTGTTTCTGACTCAGTTTATGTCCCCCTCCAATTTTCTGCTTCAAAACCTGTTATCCTTCTCCTCAACATCTTAAAAGGGCTATGGAATAAATGGAGTGGGGCAAAGGTCCTAGCTAAGCTAGTGGGAGTCTAGAAGACCTTATCCCCACTCCTCAGATGACTGACTGGAAGAACAGAAGTGGGTGGAGCACCAGTGGCTTAGCAGAAGAAGGGGTTCAGAAACTGCTCTCAGGATCTCTCTGCTCACTGGCCTAACAGCAATTGGAAAGCATCTGTTGAAAAGGATATGGGGAGCAGCCGGAGATGGGGAGGAAGCATTGGGGGAGGGGTAGAGCAAACATGGGGGACTTGGACGGAGAGAAACACATGCAGAGGAATCTAGGAAAGGAAAGGGCATGCTGGCCAGTAACTGATCTGGGCGGGCAACAGAGACAACCCACCAACTGGAGTCTTGAATATATGTAAGATGGGGGCATCCCTACAGCCAGCATTAGTTCTTTGATTGCCAACTTAACTCACTACTGCAGAAGCTAGCCACTCTCCAACTGTTTGCTAGCCTCTGATTCTTTGTGTTCTCTGAGGAAGAAGAAAGAGAGCAGGCATTGCATAGTGGCTTTGCAGAGCCCTCTCTCTAGCAAGAGAAGAATGCAAGGGAGAGGAAGATTCCAGTCATTTCTCCTGGGGCCCCTGGCTGCAGCTTGACTAGCACCGTGCGTACTAGTGCGGGGGAGACAAACTTGTACATATTGCTGCAGACTTTGCCTACTTTCCTGTGTCAGCAAAACCCAGGAGGCCCTGCCCCAAGGAGAGCGAGAAACTAACTCAGAGTAGGGAGTCCCCGTAGGCTGGCAGAAAGTGGTCCAGATTTTGGATTCCGTCCCATTGTCCCAAGACAGCTGAGAGCACTATTTGGCTGTCTAAGGCCTTGTCTCCACTAGGGGAAAAAAATGTTTGGTTCATTTGCCTGCTTTTGAAATGTGTTAGCTAATCCATTTTAATTAAGTGCTGTTTGTAAAAGGTTTTAGCATTGACTGTAGCCTGGGTTTAACACCTTTTCCAAACATGGTAGCCGAATGTGGTTCAACCTAGCAAGAAAATCAATACATGACCTGGGCTGGAGTGTGCAAGACACTAGCAGAATTGTTTTATATTTATCATGTTTGTTGCCTACGAGTCCTACCGGGAGTGAGTGTTGCCTTGTTTTTAGATAACTGGAGAACAAGGAGTTGTGGGTAACATGTTCTTATTGGGAGTAGAATTGCAGTAGTGCCTAGAGGCCAGGGTCCCGTCTTGCTCCGTGCTGTACGCATGCATAACGAAGAGCTGCTCCCTGCCCCAGCGAGCTCCCCATCTAAGTGTCCTTGATCAGAAACTTCCAAAAACATTAGCCGATTAGAGAAACGCCTGCAACGCTGTCACAAACACTTATGAAGAAAAACCAGATCCTTTTGGCCAGCCCTGCTTAGGGGCAAAGGGGAACCCTCTGAAGTGTCATCACTGTGGCAAGCCCCTCAAGGCATTGTTTAGATTCTTCTAGGGAGCCCAATAACCTTCCACGGTGCTTTGCTGCCATAGGCTGGTTTCTAATCTCCGATGTGCGGTATGTAGCACCAAGTATCTTAAACTCCCCTATTCAACTGCAGTATCGGATCATTTTTGCACCCGCAGCGATGTGTTGCTGACAATATGAGATTAAAATCTATTGGCCTTTCTACCCAAAATTATTTCCTGCTTTCTTGGCCATGCCGCCAAATCCGTGAGCCCTCCAATGCTGATTAGATGTTAGCATAGGTTCTTGTTCTTCGTTAGCCAAGCATATGGAATACAAGATGCCTTAATAGCATGAGCAAAGTGTATTTCATGGGTCAGTGGATGAGGACTGTTTACAGATGTTTTGTTCAAGCTGAGAACCGGGCTTAGCTTTGTCAGGTGGCTCCACTCTATTAAATCACACCACCACCTAAACAGATTGAGCGGTTTTGTTTTTCATTATGTGGAACAAATTATTCCTCGTGAAAGCTATGTGCATGGATGGGGGCATAATGGAAGCAAGCGTTGTGTGACCTCAGCATGCAGCTCTACCAAAGCACCCGAGTCCCGGCCTCCAGCAAGGCCTCTTATCCCTCTCTCGTGGTTCTGTCTGTTGGAGAAAATCAGTCATGCCAAAATGTATATTCGGTCCACAAGAGAGTAAGATTAGCCCATTAAGCTCCTGTGTCACCTGTGACCAGAACAGGATTGGAATAAATCCTCAACGGGAGCTGAATCTGGGCGAGTAAATAGAATTTGAACCTAGGTCTCTAAGAGGCTGGTGTACTAACACACTGCACAAGCATAGTTCAGGTTTATCTGGCATTCATGAAAACACTTTTCTTGTCAATGTCACTTGGGCTTTGTTCAAATGGTAAAACATTGAAACATTTAGTAGGTGTTTCCATTTGTGACTTGTTTCCCATAAGTAGGGCTATGCGTGCTATTTCCAAAGGCTATGTTCCGTTGTAAGTGCTACCTAATAATAAACATCTATGACTGCACCTGGCCTTACTCAGCCCAGAAAACAACAGTTATGCAAAATCACTATCTACAATTTCATAAAAGTCTTGAAGTCTGGGGTGGAACCATTCTCTGTAGCAAATTAAGCACGTGCATAAGCTTTTGCAGGATCGGGCCTTCGGTTTTATAAGCAACTGTTGCACTGTGTAAGATCCCTTGTCATAAAACATTTCACACCACATTCTTCATATTAAATGTATATTATAATAGAATCTAGGACTTTTCATCACGAAAAAATCTTAACCATACTTAATAACTGTAAAACACTGACGTTCTGATCTCATACACCTTACGCAAGTAAAACTCCATTGAAGTCATTGTGACCCAGGAAGAGAACCAGAGAAAACATAAAAGTAAGGAAGAATAATTGTTTTTCCAAAATTTTCCATGCATAGCCAGCAAGTGATTAAAAACGTCCTACGCTTGATTGGTAGACCAGAGAAGCAAATCATTTTATTCCCTCTTTTCCCCCTTACAGTACAGATATTGAAAACAATAGTTGTTTTGCCTTTGTTAGGAATATGGGATGAGGTTTTGAACAGCTAAACTGTCGTTCTGCATAAACATAATAGAGAAAAGGCCCATTTGAACGCCTTGGGAAGGGAGGAAACTGAAGAGGGCTAAAAAACCTATAAACAGAAACATACACAGATATGGTACAAAAAAAAAAGCAATTCTGACTTAAGGCTACCAATTTGTGCTGTTCAGCTACTTCCAGTCTTTTTCAAGATGCTTAGAAAGGTCTTTTCTCTGTTACTTTTTTTTTTAATTGGCTAATTCAACCAGCTGTCTGTGATATGCAGCTTCCCCTGAAATGAAACAGCCTACTCTGATCCACTTCTCCTGATCATGAGACACTCGTGCCCTTGCTAATCTCCCCTTCCTTACATTAAGTACTGTATGGAGAAAGGTAATAAATGCCAGGAGATACACTACTGCTTTAGTTAAACGCAATTTCTTAATTTGCAGGGCCCAGGTGTCTGTTTAACTTGTCCGAAGAAGAGGAAATGTGTTGATGTCATCCTAGTGTCTGGTAAACCACTGCTCACCGTGCATACACACCAGAGATCATTCTATGTACTAGTAACCTGGGTGGGTTACAGGTCAGTTTTTAACCCATAAAAACCATGAGCCAGCAGATTTCCTGTAGTACAAGGGTGGGGAGAACCCACCTGTATTGGTTATGAAACACACACTGCAGACAGAATAATCTAGCTGCCTCTTAGATTACAGTAAAATAATTACTCAGCCAGAAAGACAAGTAAGAAAAAAGTACCTTTTTGTCAACACTAATGCAAAGATTGTGGTTCAGGTCAACATACAGAGTTCTCTGAGATAGTGTTATAATACGATAATAATGGGACAGTCTTGTTGGCCTTAGTCAGGCAATGTTCTCATTGACTTTAACGGCCATTTGGATTATATAAGGACTGCAGCATTTGGCTCAACAATAATAATGTCCATTTATTAAGCATCTCTGATCTGAGGATCTAAATGTAAAGACAAGGTGGATAAGAACCCTATGGCAAATGTTCATTTAAGCTCTCATCCTGCAAGCTCGTATACATGTGCTTAACTTTACACATTTGAGTAGTCCCACTGAAACCAATGGGACTGCTCAAGTATTTAAAGTTAAGCAAGCATGCAAGTGTCTGTAGGATCCGGACCACCGGCAGTGTGTCAGAGTATCATTAATATATACTGCAGTTCAAAGGGTTTGCTTAAAGCTGCTGGCACCTCATTGATTATTTCCCCCTCTCCTCCTCCCCCCCCCCCCCACTGTTCACCTACTCCTGCTGCTTATCCCCACTCCTAGAGTAATAATCATCTGTTTGTGACAACCCCATTGCCTGCTGTGGAAATAATTATGATGTTACAAACAGAGAATTATAACTTCAGGAGAGGAATAAGGAGCAGAAGCTGATGGATTCTGAAGCAATATCGATCTTGATTTCATGCAAATTACAATATTTTTAACCAGGGAAAAGAATTGCAGAAAAATGTAAGAACTGTTTCTAACTCCTTTTTTCTAATTCTTCTGTCAGGCAACAGCAGCAATGTAAGAATGGTCTACATGTGACTAGGGGGACAGGTTTCTGTTCATCTCTTTTCCTGTAAATATACAAATGCTGACATTTAGAGAAGAGCTGACAACATGAATTCACAGGCCAACGATTTCAGCAATACTTTGACTTGAGATTATCCTAGCAAAAACGATCATCCCCTGCCTTGCTTTGCATTCTAATGTGTCCCCTTGAAAGATGTGGCAATTATGAAGCTACTAAAACTGCATAGGAGAGGTGAGAACAAGACATAGAGTAAGCTAAGAAAGAACAACTGAAGATTTAAAATATTCAGTAACATTTTAAGCTTCCCAAATAGACATGTTTTTGTTTTCAGAGGGAAATTGATTATTCAGTAGGTAGCAATAGATTATTTTTAAAAAAACCAACCATCAACAACCCATTGATTGTCCTAAAAAAAACCCCTCTATTTTTATCCATTTTACATATTTGTTAATTCTCACTAAGTATACTTAGGGCTAAGTCCTGCAGCCCTTTATACAGGGTGAACTTTCAAGAGAATATAGGGCTGCACATTGGAAACTCTGGAGGTTACAGAAATATATACACTGAGAGAAGTGAAGTCATCAAAACAGTTTAGATTTAAAATAAAGAGAACCCACCAAGGTAGCAGTGGTATGTTCAAAACTATGATATAGTATGATAGTAGTATGATATATGCCAGGGAACAAATCCTGACTCCAAAACATACCTAAAGAATAGTCAAATAAAAAAGCTCTTAGGCTCCAATTTGGAGAAGATTGTGATTAAAAAAACAAAACAAAACAAAAATCCATTTTATCAGCCTTCAGTAACTAGTCACCTACATCGAAATGCATTCTCCTGCATCTTAATGATGGTCCAGAAAAGTAAATGGAAAAGATCAAAATGGTTTACCTGTTACTTCAGCAGCTTGAATGAAGCTGAGAGCAGCGAGTATCCAGAATATCATGATGATAATGGTGGGCTGCAAATGTAGATGCCACCCCCACAAAGATATCTGAAGACTGAACCACAAGCCAACCTGGTGGGGCTAGACTGTTCAGTCAGTCACACATTCTCTCTCTCCTCTCCTTTCCCCCTCAGGAGCACTTGATCTACATACTGACTGAAACCACTGTGATGGCAACATTTCAAACCGGAAGTTAAGTTGTTTGATGACTTCAGCTTTTTATCTTTAGGAAGTCTCGTCTCTGTTGCTTAAAAGAAAAGTTTGGCCTTGGTAAAACTCTATTATGCTAAAGGAAATGAAAGCCCACCTTCCAACATTCAATAGCATGCCCCTTTTGGCTAGCCAGTGTTTGGATGGGCACTTGTAGATCTGTTTCTGTTATGAGCAGAACTGGATGAAACAAGTCAGGTATATACACTTTGATGCAAGCCTGTTTATTTATAAAGACTGTACCCAAAGTCCCGTCTCCCTGAACATAGTCGATTAAAACAAACAGCAGGTCATTCCCTTGCTTACTATTTCCAAGTCTGTCCCTCCAATCAGTTGTGTGCCGAGAAGCTCTGTCTCTCTGCCCCTTTCAAGGCCACAATAACAACTTGCTGGATTCCTGCCTCTAATGCACACAGCTTGCCAACAATGCCCTAGCATCTGGGTTTGCAACCAGTTTAAAAGGAACCCTCTTACAGCTGAGCCTGGCTCAGTCTTTGCTAGATGACCCTGTGCCTATGGTAGTAGCCTCCTATTGTTTCCAGCTATCATGCCATAAAGGAGTATTTAACTGCTCCTTCCATTTAATCTGAAGTAAGGGTCTGTGATTGTCTAATAGATCAAAGACCTGCTTGGTGGCAGCCATTAATACCCTCCAGCATAATAGTAGCACGGTCAGGCTGCTTGAGATCTTTAATATTAAACTATTTCCTGCACAGAAAAAGAACAAATCACAGAGCCAAAATCTACTATATACTATGGATGAATGTGTATGGCTCTCATTGACATCTATAGGAGGTGAACATCTGTATCCATGGGTAGAGTTTGGCCTATGGTGCCTTGACTTCCCTCTCAAAACGCCATCAGAATGGACTCCAAGCTACAATATGTCACTATTTAAGGAAAGAGAGAGAGAGAGAGAGAGATTATATTTTGGCAAAAAGTAATATCGTGCTATGCCTTTTCTCTTAATCAAACTGATTCCTGAGTTCATATTAAACTTTACATTAAGCAGCTGACCTAGCATGCGTTCTACCATCCTCCATAAAGAATGTCTGAAATCCTTAGATGTGAATTTTGGAGTGTGGAACTGGGACTGCAGGGGTTAACCCCTCAGTGTGGGCTGACAAAGCCACACCCCCATGGCCCTACTGGGCATGCTCGAAGTGCAACACCAGTATAAGAGGGAGCAGCCTGGCTCCATCTGGGCTGACCGCTGTAGAGGAAGGAGGTGTGCTGCCGGCTCCTGCTGAAAGGCTGCCGGCACTTCACGACACAGAGGTCAGTCAGCTGACAGCAACCCTCAAACCCCAGATTTTCTGAAAAATTGGGTTGTGGATTTTTCACTTTTGATAGCTGCTGGGGATGATAGTTCAACAGCGCTGCTTTGGTCTATAGGTAGCATGCACCCAAGATCTTTGGGACGAGACACTTCATTCAGAGCCCAGCTCTGTAATCTGGTAGCTAGTTCAGCTGCTATACCCACTTCCAGTCCAAGAATTTTAACAAGAGGCTTGTGGTCTATAATCAGTGTGGAAACTCATGGAATTTCATGTCGCTAAACCCAGGCTTTTCTGTCTGAGCCCAGTTTTTTTGGAAAAAATGAAAAACCCAAGTGTGACGGGTTGAAGCCCCCATCCTGGATGCCACCTGATGTGCTGGGGTCCCACTAGTTCCACCCGTTCCACCAGCCTGGGTTTCCTCACCCTGTCCTAGCTGTTCCAGGCCCTCAAGCCTTCTCTAGCGCACACACACGCACACAGGTAAGGCCACACCCAGCTGCAGATGGACACAGAGACACTTAGGTTAGCTCTGTGTGGGGGGAATCAGCTCAGGGAATGCCCAGCACTCATGTGCACACCTCCTTTGGGGTATAAACCCAAAATAATACTGTCTTGCACTGTATAGAAAGATCTGCACAGCGCAAGCTCATAAAAATCCATCCTCTCCCTCAATGTGGAGAGAGATATGCACAGCTTTTTGCCCCCTTCCCCTCCCCCATATAAATTGCACAAACTGGGATTTGAAATAAACAAGAAATAAGTTTATTAACTGCAAACGGTAAATTTTAAGTGATTATAAGGGATAGCAAACAGAAGAAAGCAGATTACTGAGAACATAAAACAAAATGCACAAACAAAGCTTAATACACTCAAGAAACAGGTTACAAAATGTAATTTCTCACCCTAAATGTTGTTTTAGGCAAGTTGCAGAGTTTCTGTAGCTCAGAGTTCCAGTTATGTCTCTTTACAGACTGGACCCCTGTCTCAGCCTGGACTCAACCACTGCCTTTCCCTTCAGGTGTTTTTAGCAATCTTCCTTCTTGGCCCAGGAGGCAATGTAGATGAGTCTTGATCGATTTACTCCCCAGCCTTAAATAGAATTTGCATAAGGCGGGAATCCTTTGTTTCCAGTGGAAAAATACCAGCAGTGTCCAAGGTGAGACTTCGTACCAGGTAACATCATCAGATGACCCTGCAGTGTCAAAGCAACATCCCAGGAAGCGTCTCAGGATGATGGGAGATTAGTATCTCCAAAGTTCTATTGTCTTTCTTCAATGGCTCAATCAGGCTGATTGCCTACTGTCTGGTGGGCGTTCCCTCAAGTACACGCACAGTTGTAATTGTTACATAGTCAATATTCCTAACTTCAGATGCAGAAATGATACATGCATACAAATTGGGTGAACACATTCAGTAAATCATAACCTTTTCAATGATACCTCACATGACCCATCTTGCATAAAACATATCTTAATTATGCCATATTAATATCATAATATTTCTATGAAGAATATGGAGTGTAATGCCACATCAAGTGATGGGTTTTTTAGGTGAGATGACTAAACCAATGCCTGTTGATCATGTGTTACAAGCTAACTGGAATTGTAATTTGAGCTCAGAGTTTCTAACACCATTGAACATCTCAATGAATTCTTGGTCTCCCTAAATGCCTCGTTAACCAATATTGGTCTGGTCTCGCAAAACTGTGCCATCCTATGACTGGTACAGGCAGATGAGCCTGCACACTTTTTATCAGACCCAAACGCGTCAAAGTACTGTACACATGATGTTGCCTGGGTATTGGATACTCTCTATACTTGGAATCAATGCAGACATAGGTGATTTAACCTATAATGGCTCCAACGCTGATGGAATTGACCCCTTTGTCAAAATCAGATTTGGATTATGTTGTTTAACACAACATTCTGCTTTTATCTTAATCTTCCACAAAGCTCAGGTCTCTCTCTTGTGCACACTGGGTAAAATGGTGCCATTTAGGCACATCCCTAAGTGCAGGAATGTTGGTGAACCCCTTGGTGAGTGCAGGACGGGGTTGTGCCTTAGAAAGTACAATCCCTTCCCTGGTGCACAGTGGGAATGCACAGCCTGCGCCTTCTGCTGTTGGCTGCAGTTTAGCCATGGCCTTGCACCTACCTGCCCTCTTTTCTGTGCCCCTCACGACTCTTGGGATGGGGAGAGCATGGGGAACAGACCTTGAACAATCCTGAGTACAGGGACTGTAGTTGTCCCTGACGCTTTGTGGAGGGGCGGGGGGGGAGGTGAAAGTAATGGGGTGGGGGAGTAAGGCTCCTTGTCCCATTCCCCATTTTCCATTCCCCACCTTCCCCACCTCCCGCAGTAGCACTCAGAAGGGTCAGGGCCAATCTGGCGCATAGTGTTGGCTCTAAGTGCACTGTTACCAAATTGTGTTTGAGACAGTCCATATGCAATTTGAGAAACTGCATCCGTAGCGTGCAGGCCCATTTTAACTACCCAATGTATTATTTTCTCGGTGCTGACCAGCAATTCCGGTGCTGCCTTTTCCAAGTCCTCGTGTTCTGCAGTGAGGTATTTAGTGCTGCCTAATGGCTTTCCCTTTGATCCCTGCAGTGGAGACCAGTGTAAAGGGCATGCTCTTCAGCAAGCTTGCAGAGTCCTCACTACCAACCCGTCTAGCTTTTAACAGGAGCACAAATCACTGTTCTGTTTCCAAGGACACGCATCTTGCATTGGCTCCCTTTCTCCTCCAAACTGGGACCATGCTGTTCTAATCAGTGGTTTTTCAACTGTTTACTTCTAAACACTTTAGAAACTTCCCTTTGTCACTTCAGCTCTATGGTCCTTCTCCACAGCCAAGGATGAAGGAGCAGAGGGGTAGGGGTGGAGGTGGGGGTGACGGTTGTATGAGAGCTCAGGGCTCCTAGCTCAGGACAAACCACAGAAAAGCCTGTCAGAAAACATCTAGAAATGGCCCAGAATGACACGTCTCTATCTTTCTTTAATTTTCCCAGGTATTCAGACAGTGTTCCCCTTGCTAAGCAATAGTGAAGGCATAGCTGGTAATATTCTGCAATAAAGTTAATTTGGGACATAAAGTACCTTTTATGTCCTTAATCATTTTTAACTCAGATTTCCATCTGCTAGGCTGTTAGGACTCTGTCTGGCAAATTCTGTTTGTAGTCACATCAGTGCAAATCTGGAGTCATTTTGCTAGTTTCAGTGGGGCTACTCCACATTTGCACTGCTGGAACTGAGAGCGTCATTTGGTCCTGTACTGGGAGAGGTGCATGTTTCCTCTCCTTTGCAGTATGAAGTCCTGGCCCCATTGTAATAAATGGGAATTTTGCTATTGGCTTCAGGGGCCCCTATCTTTTTCTTTGAGTAATTCCATGAGACATAAAATACCACTCCATATGTTCAGCACAAAGCTGAAAATGCTGTTCATTTTCATCAGAAAAGTCCCCTGCTACACCAATAATGGCTGGGACTGGATTTTTTGGCAACTTTCTGATTTTCCTC